TGTAATAATAATAATCATAATCATAATAATAGTAATTGTGATGAGAATAATTGTAATAATAATAATAGTAATAATAATAACAATAGTAATAGTAATAATAATAATAATAATAATAATAATAATAATAATAATAATAATAATAATAATAATAATAATAATAATAATAATAATAAAAATATAATAATAATGAATAATCTTAGCTAATAAGACATGAGATTTTGCGTTCAATTTTCGCTTCTGTTTGTGTGACTCTATAGTATTCATTTTTTGCGTTATTTTTTTCCTAACTCGACAGGGTGATTAATCGATGGTTCTATTATAAATGAGATGTTGATTTCCGACATTTAATTTACAAATGATGCGCGCGATTTACATGGATGAAGGAACTAGTCATCCCTTGTTAAATATTATAATGTAACGTCGCATTTATGTAAACCCGTGTTTTAACAAGGGCAATGTATCCTGTCGGCTGAAGGTGAAAAATGGCGGTTGGAATGTCTCTGTCCTGTATATATGTTGAATAGTTTTTCCTTTCGTTATATCGTACATATGAAACTATTATATTTTCAATTTTCTTTTTCATCCTCGTTTTTTTCTTTTTTTTTCCTTTTTTTTCGTTTTCTTTTTTTTTCTTTTTACCTAATCACGGCTCCAAAACGAGCAGCCTCCTCTCAGCGATTTCCGAAAAGATCAAATCCGAGTGAGGGAAACGGTAGCCCGCGTACGTTATCATCTTTTCTCCACGAGTACCAATGCCGATCGATCGAATTACTCAGAGAATCCGGAGCGAAACGAGCAAAGCAAATAAAAAAAAAAAAAAATCGACGTCGCTAAGATCTAATAAGTACTGCGTCTCACGCATTTCCCTTCTGAACGCATTTTCAATCTTATTCTTGAACCGGTCCCGTCACTATTATAGTATAAATTATCCTCTCGCAAAGAAGAAAGAGAAAGAGAGAAAGGGTACCTAAGAATTTGTCAATTTCGTTAATAAATCGTTATTTACAATATTTTACAAAGAAAGCGGTTATGTTCCTCCTCTTCTTTATTTATTTATTTTTTTTTTTTAATGCTCTTATCTTTTTCTTTTTTTCTTCTCATCATCTTTTTTTATACAAAATCGCGACGGACCTCGATTTGCTTTGCGGTTGTCCCTTCTTTCTTTTCTTTCCTTGTTCCTCTATTTTTTTCACTTTTTTTTTTTAGAATTCTACACATTTAACACCTAAGTTAACAAAATATTATACATTGTACACAGTTGAGATACAACTCGATCTTAATTATCTATCGATTACGAGAATGCAACACGCAACGAAGTTCTTTCGGATGTATACAAATATGTATGGGAAATGTGTCGCGCGTACGAACGTCGAATTTAAAAACTTAGCGAAATTTTCTTTCTGCAATGGAAAAAAGAATTTCTTTTTTCTTCTTTCTTTTGTACAAATTATATACACACGACTCGTGAAATGATTTAGATGAAACGTTTTATAATTCGAAATGCTGATCCGTTCTTGAAATTTCTCGGTAATAAAATCTTAGAAGAACAAGCTACGAGTCTTTCTAATTTATCTTCTTCGACTTTTCTACCCCTTTAAGAATGCGTTCTATACGAATAAAAATTCTACGCACAAATAATATGTGAACGTCCACCAAAAGGATTAAAATTATATGAAAGTATATGAAAAATTGTTTTAATCCTACAAATGATATCCTTTTGAAAAAGACACGACGAAACTGATTATCTCGATCAATGACCAGTTTTATCGCGTTTACAAAACTTTAGGAACATAGAGAAAGCATCGCAAAATGCGTGATGCATAATAAGCGATGACAGAAGCTAACCGTTAAAACGATCAGGATGGTTTTTTTCAGAATCACAGAGAGGAAAAAAGATACGAAAAAAACATATCTACGTGTGTCCTTTTTTTTCTTTTTTTCTTTTAGTGTAAAACTGCGATAAGAAAGAACAAGTACGATGTTATTGAAAACAGCTGAGAGGTGCTCTTTCCAACCGTCGTGTGTGATATATATATTACAATCGAAAAATGATTGGTGTGTACAATATGTTTTTCTAATATGTAAATGTGTAAAAGGATAGGAAAACAAATGGCGCGAAAAGATATAGATACACACGCATTGGGAACATCAATTTCCTGACGTTTTTCTTCCTTTAAAGAACGCGTTATCATTTATACAATGTACAATGGGTCTCAGTTACGTTCAATAATCATCGCGATTCAATGCGATGGCTGCGATTATTATAAGAGAAGTAGAAGGGATCTTAAGGGATTAAATTATAAGGGGTCGAGGGTATTTTTTTTTTTTTAGATGAATCTGAACATAAACGATTTCTTTCCTCTAGAGCGTCTCCTTTGTCAAAAATCTTCATATTTTACAATTGGAAAGTATGTGTGAATGTGTGTGCCTGTATGTGTATGGAAATAGGGAGGGGGGGAAGGGGAGGAGGGGAGGTCGATAGATGGTAGAAACCATTTTTAAAACGGTTGGAGGAGGAAGGGGAATATCAACGTATATTGATCGAAGGTCAGCAGCATTAGAACGTAAATCATATTTAAATTTAATATAATTAGTAATTATTATAATACACGATATTCACAAAGTCCGTTAAAAAGGAGAGAATTCCCGTGAAAAATAAAATATTCATTGAATTTACGGTTCCTCACGATAGGGTTGTCACGTCATACCTATACACATATTTGTTATTTATTTATATCACAATTTACAAAATTTGAGGATCTCAAGAGTGGGAGTAAAGAGGAAGAGAGCAAAGGGATAAGGATCAAGGGGAAAGGGGATACAAGAAGGATGTAAGAGTAGAAAAAAAAATGCTTCGCGCTTAAAGGCGACAAACGTAAAAATGAACAAAGGAGAACCGTGCTGACGACTTGATGTCTCTCCTCATTGTTTCTGTCTTTTTGTTTCGTTCTTTTCATCTCGTGCTAAATTCCGTCTCTAAGAGAGAGAGAGAGAAAAAAAATACATACATATACATAATATATTGATTCATCTTTGAAATTTCTATAAATGTAGAAACGAATAGTAAAATCGATTTTTCTTCCATCTTCTTTTTTTTCTTTTTTTTTTTNTTTTTTTTCTTTTTTTCCTTCACGAACAATTTGAAGCAATCAAGGGGCAGATTAGCGGTCAGGTCAGGGATACTCAGCTTCATTCCCATGTCGAACGCTATCCTAGATATAATCAACATATCAGTAGCTCCTAACCTCTATCGAATCTTGAACCGATATCGATTCGTTGATCGAACGTATACCGCACGTAAAAAGATAATACTACTTTCAGCGTGCAAAGATGGGTACGGTACACTTGCGATCGAAACGTTTCGTGCATGAAATTTACGGCCATCACACTTTCGTTACAACTCGATATAAATGCATGCAGCTCTAAGATCTATCCTAGCTGTCTAAACACAATTTTTTCTTCTTTGAATTTTTTTGCTGTTATTATTACCGAGCTTTAATCACATCGAGCCGTATGACTCATCCAACTTCTCCTCCTACTTTCCATTGTTTTACGTTTTTTTTTTTACGTATGCGTTTAAATATTTACCAGAGGAACGGAGCTATGCTCCTTCAAAAGTGCTGAGTTTAAAACGGATTAACGGGTTAAATAACAATTTTACCCAAATTCTTATAAATTATCGGAACTATCGTGCCGTTGGAATTGCTCTAAAACTCACTGATAAACGAGAGGCGCTTAAAAGACAATCAACCATCTCAGCACTACAGTTTCTCATATACAATTGCTCAAAGCTTTATCCAATTGTTGCGAAGAAACTCGGTTCTCGAACGTTATCAATGCTTAACTTTCGTGACATTTCAATTGTAAATTGCTATGAATATATTACTCGGCAGCACGTTGGATTACTAATAAAAAAAATGCACTGCACCTCTAACGTTATTCTAGAAGTTGATTTTTCCTGACACACATTTGACCTTGAAATTTTTTTTTTTTTTTTTCCTCCTTGCACCGTTTTTTCGCGTTGTCCATTCTTGTTGTTCTGTACAAATTGTTAGTTTCCCTTTTTATTTTTTCTTTTTTTCTTTTACGGTTTTGCAAAAATAAGAAAAATCGTCTCGGTAGCTCTTTTTTTTTTTTTTTTTCGTCTTAAATGGATATACAATTGCTCGTCTTCTTTTTCTTTCAGCCCTATACTTGCAAGAAGGGACAACGAGATGAACGGTGCATCGAAATGCATCCTTTTTTTTTTTTTCCTCGTCCATTAAATTTTTAATGGCGATACGTTGCGATAAATATTTACGTAGATGTTGGTACGTGTTTTTTCTTGAACGTACAAAAATCTTCAAATTTTTACTTTTCGAATTCGTACGTTTATAAAACCTGCGTTGGCTGCTGAGCTGGTGTAGATACTGGACCAGCAGCAGAAGCAGGCGGTCCGATAGGACCAAGATCACCTCCACCACTCGAAGCACCAGCAGGTGTTGCCACTCCCATCGCGGATGCAGTTTTCATGAAGAATTTCTCTAGTTTGACAATGATGTGCTTGCCATAGGTGTATTTGCGCAAGCTACCTAAATGTGGGCGGATTTTGTGCATCAATACCTTACGTTGCGCTGGTTCTGCTACATCGATCATTTTTTGAACCACATAATTGGCATACTGATCCTTCATCATGACGTTCAATGCGCTATTTTGTAACAGGCAACAAATAATACAAATAATTAGTTAATACGAACCGAAAGCAATAAAATTGCGTGAATCGCGTAAAAAAAAAAGAAAAAATGATGATCGAAAATAATACTTGTTATCTTACTCACATAAAAACATAAAGATTAAATGAAATATAAAACTTACTTATCATTAAATCCGCACACTTCTTCAATGAGTACAGCACGCTCTTGTCTCGTAGCATGAGTCACGCATTTTTCAACAACGTTACTCGCAAATTTATGCTGAGAGAGAGTAAGTACTTTACCTCTAACACTGCTAATCAACTGTGCTTTATCTTCCGGCTTTCCGTGTTCTTTAAAGCAAAAACATACATAAAATCGAATTATTTTTTTTTTTTTTTTTGCGAAGGAAACGAAATATATTTCTGACATTTCTGTACTTTCTGTTGTTTCTATTCAATTAAACAACACTCACCGAGTACATGTTGGATCACGTAATTGCCGTATTGATCTTGAATAAGTTGATCGGTAGCAGCATGTAATTCTTGAAGAATTCCCTGAGTTTGTTCAGGGGTACAATGTTCGAGAATACGTTGAATCACTCTGCAACCATATGGATGAGTACTCAAAGAATAAACTTGACCGGCGAATGCTCCAATTACGAATTGTAATGCTCGTGGCTCAACACATTCGATACATTTTTGTACAACGTGATTTCCATTCTGATCTTTAACGCATTTCAAAACATGACCGTCCAGTTCTCGGACTATCTCTTGTTGTTGTTCCGGCCCGATCGATTCGAGAGCTTTTTGAATCACTCTGCAACCGTACATTTGCAACGCCAAGGGTAGCACGTGTCCCCGAACCTAAAATACAAGATAATTATGTAAAATATAAAATTAACAAGATCTAAAAATTTTCTTCTCGACTCTGTCCCACCGACTGTTCAGATAGAATTATTTTTCGATCAATGAAAATCAGTTGACACGCAAAAAAAAAAGAAATCATCATTTAAAGCATAAATTTTTGTTTGGATTGGAGAATAAGAAACGATCGTTGCATCGTTTTACCTTTTGGGCAAGGGTGGATTTCTGTTCCGGTGTACCAAACTCAAAGAATTTCTGAATGACATAATTTCCAAAAACATCGGTCATCAATGAATAAGCGGAGGTAAGAATTTCTTGAAACACAAGCTGCTTTTCGCTAGCCGAGGCACGTTCCAATTTCTGCTGAATAAAACGGGAACCGTGCTGATCTTGACTGAATTCAACTATATGATTGGCCAGATCACGTAGCTGAAGACTCGGGAATCTGAAGCATATGAGAAATTGCTCGTAACATAAGCTGGCTGCGAGGCGATAATACCATATCTCCTCCTTCCTTCCTCCCTCTTCCACCCTCTTTCCCCTTCGAGTAAGATAACTCGAAGATTACGTACCGATTATTCCTGAAGTCTTCCAACAAACGTGATCGTCCACCGGCATTTTTGTCCCCGATACTGGTTGTACCACCACGGCCAGGTTTGCCGACCAAATTCGGGAAAAGGGAGCTACTAGAGCCGAAAACCCCGTTGGCCGTTAAAGCTGGAACTGCGCTAGCCCGGAATTTGGCCTCGGCGCCCGGGGCAGCGGATACACGGCTTGCCCCACCGACGAGCCCCCCTAAAGATCCTCCCAAAGTTGGCGGTGGTGTTAAGGATAATCCCAACGGGCTTGGCGATGCTGTTACCGTGCCTGTAATAAATAAGGTAAGTGGCAAGGTAAATCGTACGTAAATCGTGCGTGAAAAGAGAGATATAGAGGGTGTACAAAACGGGAGTAGTATCCCCCCCATATATATATATATATATACCTAAGGCTCCGTAACTCTGCGGCCACTTGGCGCGGCTGTATTCTAAACTAGGACTGAAAGCAGATGTATTTCTATCGAAGGAATCTCTTCGCGCGGTTGAAGAAGCGCCAAGGCCTAAACCTGTGAACAAAAAACAAGAGACGCAAGATTTTGAAACGTCGAAATTCAACGAGGAGGCCGAGTAACGTAACGTGCCGAGATAAAATACCGAGAAGATATACTCTGATTTTTTTCAACACACGAGAGGACGATCACTTAAGAGGATGACATGTTGTAAGAAAAAAAAAAAAAGTGACAAGTGTGTAAAAGACAAACGATAGGCTTTCGCAAAACATGCAAACAGATGCGGTCGTTATGTACAAAAGAAAGATAGATAGAGAGAAAAGAGAAAGACAGAATCGAGGACACCGGCGACGCCTGAAAATTGAAACAGCCGTTTCAAAAGATTCTCTTGTTCTGTTGTCTATTAACGTGTACCTGTGCTCTGAAGCTGAGCGGGCGAGCCCAACGCCCCCAGAGGGGAGCCGCCATATCCTAGCGCCGCTAAACCTGCGGCTAGTCCTGATCCTTGTTGCTGTGCCTGCTGCACCGCGACTGCTTGAGCCTGTGCAACCACTGCTGCTGCACTGCACGCCGCCAGACCTGCACCAAAAGCCCGCAACCCACACACGCTCTTAGTTATCAATTAATTTGCCGTACCTTACCGACCTTATACCGTCTATAACCCTAGCGGTACACTGTCCACAACACATACACACGCACGCTTCCGATATCGACAACGAATTCGTACTAACATTTTTTTTTTCTCTCTCTTTTTTTAGTCACGAGGTTAATATAAATAACGTGACGTGTATACAGACGTATATATATATATATACAGACAACAGAAAAGTTATTCGACCTTATAATATATAATATATATGTATAGACATGTGTGTAAAAATATGTGTGTATGTATATATGTAATGTGTATATATATATAGTATATATATATAGAGCTATATATGTATAATCGTTTTTACAAAAATTCATCGATGCTTAATTATATTATGTCATGCATATATATATATATATATATATATATATATATAACAGACTATACATTATATTTATATAAATTTATACATACATACATACATACATATATATATATATGTATATCACGTAGGGAAAAAAAACCAATAAGTCGAAGGAAAAAAAAAAAAAAGATAACACAGATATTATCTACAAATGCTGATGAGAACTGTCCGGCTCGTATAATTACAATCTCAATTTGTAATCTCAACCGTGTAACTGTTTCTTACCCAAACATTCTCCGGGTGTCGCGTTACTGTGGGACGTGGGAGTCGGTTGAGAATATAGGCTCGGTGGTGGTGGAGCCGGTGGTCCGGGTGGTGGTTGTGACGGGGCTCTGTTTACCAAAACAGGCGCCGGACTGACTAATCTCATGGGGGTCGCGGCTGAGCTTAACCCCCGCACCCCGCCCATCACGATGGATCCATTTTGATCGTAATACGCCGGTATTACCTGATACTGGCCTTGAACCTGTCCGCGAAAATGTCAACAGAGAGAGAGAGAGAGAGTTATCACCACGACTCGATTCATCGGAGAGGAGGAACGAAGGAGGAATTTCTTATTCCAAGAATAAAACATCTTCTCCGCGCCGCCACTCTACCTTCTATCTATCTATCTACACGCGCGCGTAGATAGAGAAAACTTTTGGAATGTTAATAAGGCCGGCTCGAATCGGTGCTCCAAGTTTATATTTAATCTCCACGGCCGATCTTAATCGAGAAACGTGTGTTGTTCGAACGTATTGTACGCTACGTAACGCGCGCCCGGAAACATTGCACGATGTGGATCGGCAATAAACCTGGATGATAAATAAATACCGCGGCCGCGACAATACGCGATTTATTCTAAGCGCATCGGGGATGGACACAAGCAGGCTAATTAACTCGCTTACGCTCTGGGCCAAATTATTTGCAGTGTCTTGAGCGACAGCTGCCGCGGCTGCGGCCGAGGATGGTGTAAGCGGTCTCCTAGGTGGCGGTGGAGCGGCAGCTTGTGGAGGTGCCTGAGGCAACAATCCGGCCGGGTAAACCCATGGCGCGACTCCATAATACTGTGGCACGACCGGAGGTGGTGCCCCGGCTATCAACGCCCCGACATACGGTTCTTGTCCACTGATCACGGTGTACGGTGCCGTGGGAAGTTTTGCTGTTGCTGCTGTTGCTGTTGTTGCTGCGCCTGGGAGGCGGCCAAGTATTGCTGCTGCTGCTGCTGTTGCTGTTGCTGCAGCAGCTGTAACTGTTGCGGGGTGGCTCCTTGCGGCTGACTTCGGAACAATTGCTGTAACAAAAGTGATTCGAGATCTTACTTACTCGTCGAATCGAGCGGTATCGTTTCATTCGACGCCCCTCCCGTCCCCTCTATTATCAATTTCTCGCGGGTATAAAATTTTCACACACGAAATCCCCACAGGAAAGATTCCATCGAGGTCCACTGCTCGTTTATGGAGCAGTACATTATAGACATATATAGCACAGATTCGCGCGATAATAATTTTTTACGCGTTTCCTTACGCGTGTTCATTACTTTTATCGCTCGGTTGCCACGATCCAGCAAGCAAGCAAGATCGTGCGTTAACGAGAGGCGTTAAAAAAGAGGGAGATGGGATATAGAAAATTGATGGATAGACGGACGATTGGTAATATTTTGGCGGTGCATACGTGGCGGGCGTGCGAAAAGCATTGCGTCATGTCGCCTCCCCGTCCCCATCGTCTTAATTTATTCGACAATGGCCGGCGGCGAGCGCGAGAGGAGACTCGTGGGCAAAACTCCAATCGTTGTTCGGACGGGGATTATTAGAGAGAGGAGGAGCGTGGAAAGGAAAGATCGAATTCGAATCGGTCGCGCGAATTCCCCACGATGGTAACGTAATCGTTTTCTCTCTTCGGGTGCTCGACGCGCGTTCCTGTTCCCGGGTCGAGGGAATCGAGGCGGGGTTTAAAGTTTCGGATCAAGGTCGAACGATGGGAGAGGAGAGGAGAGGGAGGGATCGTTCACGGATAGCCACAGTTAGGTGGTGTGTAAAAGCAACGTTAAAGCCGCGGACGACCAAAGCCTAGTTGGCTTGGGTCGACGACCCCCTGCGGACGTTCACCGGCCATAGCGTTCGCCTCTATGTTTCGCCGGTGTACTCGCTCCGGCTCTAATTGACCGACAAACGGCGGCGTTTTGACCGTGGCGGCGGGACGTGGCTCGTTGGACCAGAGAGAATCGCGTCTAGTCCAGTTCCCATCCTTTTATCGGCCTCGAAAAATCTTCCTGCTCACCGACGACCACGACCAGGCGGCGGCGGCTTTCACCGCCGACCGAGCACCGTACAAGTTTCTTACGTGGAAAAATCCGGGAAGCCCGGAAAGAGAGGGGAGGGAGGGAGGGAGATCGAACGAGAACGAATTCCAACGAAGGAAGGTTTCGAGGGGAACGCGTTAAAACGCGTTACGTCAACGCTAATTGCAACGATTGCAAAACGAATTACGGAGAGAGCGTGGCTGTTTGTTTCGCGTCAACGTTTTTCACTTAACCGGAGAGAAGAATGCATCGGGTATTATCTTTTCTCGAGTAATTATACTTAGCTTTGCTCGTTACGGCAATAAGAAGGGGGAGGGAGGGGGGAGAGAGAGGATGGGAGGGGGGTCGGATGGGGAGGACGACGACCACCTCCTACGACCATTCTTTTTTCTTCTTTCGTGCCATCATTAACTTTGACCATAAAAAATTATCCCCCCCCCTCCCTCCCCCCCCCCGCCGGCATCCCTTAACGAACACAACGATCTGTGTCTAAATAAATAGGCATTGTTCTTCCGTGCAGGCTGTTGCTCCGCGAGAGCGTAGAAACTTGAACCATTCGCGACACGCTCTAGCCTCCGAGTCAGCGATGCGTTTCGGGTATTAACCTCTTCCCCGGAAGCGAGAGCTCGAGCTTCACAGCCAAGGCCACGGTCACGTTGATTGTTTCGTACGCGAACCTTGGACACCCCTCCCCCTCCCTCCCCTCCTTCTCCTCCGATCCACAGGTTGTAGTAGATCGTTCCTTCCTTCCTTCCTTCCTTCCTTCAATGATTCGATGAAGTTTCGAAAAAGTAATAATAATCTTTTAGTCGTCGCGAGTCTTACGTGAGGGGAGGGGGGAGGGGGGAGGGGATCGTAAAAACACAGACCGAGAAAAGTGATTTTTCAACATCACTCTATCGCGATTTCTTTGATCGTATTTAAATATATGTGTGTGTATATATATATATATATCGAATATAAAGCGTCGTTAAATATTGTTATCGGCGTATTGCGATCGATAGGATATAACAACAACGCGGCGCAGAAAATTTTCCGGAACGAAAAAAATTTGAAAAACTCGACGAGAGAGACCCAGTTTCGATCAACTTTGACCTACTTCCTTACCGTCCACGGTGTATACATTTGGAGCATCAGAGCGGAGAATTGACTGGCTCTTGTTTGTCTTTTGCCTCGGCAACTGTCCGCCAATTGTAATCCCTAATTCGAAGAAGAAGAATTCGTCCTAATTCTCCATCTTCGAATAATAATAATATTATGATCAAGTATACGTATATCGATTGTTTAATAACACTCTATATATATATGTATCATCGACGACCTGATCCACGCGATGATACGAGGCAGATCACAATGGGTACTCGAAACCGCGGCCCCTGTTCCATCTTTCGATCTTATCCACCGCCGATTAAGCTTCGATTCGCTCGACAACCGCGAGTTTTCATTTTCCAACAAGTGTTCACAAGTGCGACAGAGATTAGGAGAGAAAGTGGTGTCGTTCGGTCGAACGAGACGCAGGGCAGGGTCAGAATTGGTGTGTGTGTGTGACGCACGACCGAGAGGAGAAGCGCGGAAAAGAACGGTTGTCGAGAGGCTACTTGATTCGCGCGGCACAATTTTGAATGGAAAGTTCAGCGGCGGGGGCCATTAGCCGCGGAAGTCATTAGTGCCCTCGAACCCGGGAAGAGGTGAAAACGAACGCCTAAATGGAAATCACGGTGATTGCGTTTGAAAAGGGGTTGAACGGGGGAGGGGGAAAAAAAAATGGGGTTGAAGCTCGACACACAGAGAACGCGGGGGGATCCCGTTTGATTTTGGGCAAGGGTTGGGAAACAATGGCCGAGAACATTGTTGTAGGTGAGAGAAGAGGGCCGGGATACGTTCCTGGAAGTGTGACTCACTGTTGAATACGTAAGGTTTCCGCCGGCGGCTTACAAATCCGCGCTACAATACCGGCCTATTGATTCCTCCTCCTCTCTCTCTCTCTCTCTCTCCTCCTCTCTACACGCTCGAGTATCCACACGCTGAAGAGAGGAATCTGGCACGAGTCGACCGTGACAATCGTTGCCAGATTTTTCGAAAACCCTCCTTCCGGGCATTATCCCGGTCCTTAATGGCTGAGTTTTCCACCACCAATATCCCCGTTTCCAAGCCCACCATCTTTCCACTCTCTCGTATTCGCTGCTAATCGAATGTCCACGCGTGCGAGGAGCGTGGCGCGCTCGAAAACTCGACTACGATTCGTAGATCGAGAAATTCGGTCTGACGAGAGCTTTGGGGAAATTCAAACAGCGCCAAATTGCCTGTTAAGAAATGGGGAGGAAGCGGATACGTAGAGGTTATCAAATCGCAGGAGGAGATAAGAGAGCGTTAAAAGGAGGAGGAGATTTGGGAAGAGAAGGAGCGGAGCGCGAGAAGAATTGGCGAGAAGCCCGATGGTTCGATTACCGACGGCAAAAGCGGGCCCGCAACGGGGCGTAATCAGTGATATAAGAACCATTAAGAGAGCGAGGAGATATTCGTTACTAAATCCCTCCGCAACTCGGTCGTGAAAACGGGTTTAGCCCGGGACGAGGAGGTTCAACGAACTTTCGAGCGTGCTCGTTTGACTTTCAAAACGGCGTGCCTCGAATGGGTAACTTTAACATTTACCGCACGAAACGCGCCTTTCTTTCGCGCGAGCCGGGCTCGAAAACGATCGATCGATCCGTTTCGGGGATCGCGCCATCCAAATTTTTCCACCGCCGTGATGCTTCGTGACGCGCTGCTCTCTCTCTCTCTCTCTCT